TCACAGGTTTCAGCAAATGCAATGAGGCTCTGGGACTACTGGACCAAAAGAGGCCTCTGAGCTAGCAAAAGCAATCATTTGCAGGCAAACATCTGCCCAAAAAAGCCCTAAAAACTGCCCAGCCCTTCATATACACCACAGCCATGAAGAAAGTTATGAAAGCAAAACCAAAAATACTCTCTGATATGCCACAGGTAAAAATCAGGTAAGAGGAGGACCCTGCCACTGCTTTACTTTCAAAGTTACTAGGTCAGTGTATGCTCAGATGATCTGAGGAAGAGGAGCACGTTAGGACCAGGTTTAAAAACACCTTTGCGTCCTAACTTTCGTAGATACCTATGAAAGTCATGAACAACAAATGTATTTGAATAAACTCCAAGAGGTGCGTACAACAAGCGAGTCAGCCAGGAGATTTTCTGTCTATAAAGAGCAGCACCAAGCCATTTTAGTCTAAAGTCAGTCAAAAGGCAGCGTAGATTTGCAGCCACTATCCATTCTTATTTCTTTTCCTCTCCTCCGGTTATCGTTCTCCTATGTCACATATGAAATTAAACCAACAGGGTTCCTAAATACTGGCATCTCACTCCAACAGGAGCAACTCCAGCAGGAATTATGGCATGAACCAGCACCTGTGACCACAGTGTTATGTGCCTAAACACCAGATTTAGGCACTTAACATCAAGTGCACACTAAAAACTTGTAAGTCCTTTGGTGCATGAACAACGCCCTGAGAGAGGACCAATGGTCTTGCAATGACAGCGCTGGGCTTGGACCTGACAATCCTGAGCCCAACGGCTGGCTTAGCACCAATGTGACCCTAAGCAAATCATTTGACCCCCAATGCAGCAAAGGACCTAATCCCAAATTACATTTCTGCATAATGATCCCTTCTTAAAATCGTAAAATCTACACATCACTATCTAAAGTGGGGCTCCTATCATGCATCTGGGCACTACATTAGCTTTACAAATAGGTACCAACTAGAACAATAAGGTCACGTTGGAAAATTTTTGTTGGATTTATATGGGCGGAGGCTCACAAAACTGGTCCGAACTGGTTCTAGTCTTCTTAAAAGGAAACATACCTCTAACACAGTGTGGATTTGTGCTGTCAGGAGCTTCTCAAGCTGAAGACATACTTCGGAAACTGAAGGGAGAGTAATGACCGCAGGGTAAGTCTCCATCGGAGGTGTGCGCTGGGAGTTTTGCTTCTCTTCTAGCCCTTTGAAAGGTCTTCCAAAATCCTTGCCTAAGGTGACAGATCTAAAGTTCATACTTCAGACTTTTCTATGGGTAGTGTGCGAGTGCCAGGGATACCTAAGCCCATAGATGGGTCCTGCCAGGGTGCTTGCTATCCCTTGTGTGAATGAAGAGGCCCAGACAGCACCAGGACAAGTTTATGCTCTGAGCTCACACGGAGATCTACACAAATCAATCCCTCGCCCCAAGCAGAGCTTAACATTAGCGGGATACTGCGGGAACGCAGTGACTGAAATTGGACGAGAGCTTTCTCATCTGCTCCTTTGATGATGTTACTTTTGTTCAGCAAAGGAAGCCCTTCTTTCACACCCCCACTATGCCAGTTAGCAGATCTGTAATGCTCAACACCAGGCTAATTTATGCAGAATTTAAGAGCAGGGCGATTAAATCCATCTTATTCATAAATCCAGACTTTTTTAAGTTTACAGGGTCTGACTCATTAATGATATTTGATTGCTTTTTCATGTCCCCTTTAATTTGAGAATAGATTTAAAATGGAAGCAAGGGCATTTAAAAGCCAGTCTTGTTTCTTGCCTTGCACGGGTGATATGAAAGGCTAGCAAACTGATTTAAGTTGTTTGCTACCTCTCTTCCTTCCTGTAGCACCCCCCTGTATCACACACATCCAGCTACTTCTCAGTCTCAACTGCCTGCTTATAATCTCTCAGTCTCTGCCTTCTGCTAATTATTTAAACTAAGATAAAATCTATTGGAAAGGTTGCTGCCCTAAACAAGCTGTGAGCTACAACAACCCAGCTCCGGTCTAGGGTGGGCTGGGGGGGCTTTGGCAGTGTGACGGCAGTGGAGATGGGGAGGGGGGCTCCCTGCATCTGTGCCAGGGCCAAGCAGGAGGGAGCTGCACCCATGCTGCTACCTGCTTCTCCCCAGGTGGGGTCTGAGTGCAGCTTGTAGCCTGCGGGGAGCTGTGCCAGGGCCAGGCAGTGGGAGCTGTGTCCACACTGAGCCCTATCCCTACCCCACCTCCCAGATGCAGCACGGGCACAGGGGAAAGCTGCCCAGTGGCTAAAAGCTGCCCCCAGGCCACAGCCTTAGGAAGTGGAGGAGGGTGGGCAAGGAGAAGCAGCGTGGGCATGGGGGCATCTTCCTGCTGCTCAGCTCTGGCACAAGAATGGGCATAGGCAAAGCCCTCCAGCTCCATGGTGCCAGATGCAGTGGGTCTATGGGTCAGATCCAGCCTGCAGCCCATAAATTGCCACGCCTAGTTTAAAATATTTTATTTTGGGATGCAAGATTAACTTCTGACCTTAGTTACAGGTAACAGCTCTTACTGAACTCAATGGGAGACAAGAATATATTTGAGCACCAGAAACTGGTCCAAAGTTTGCTGAAAAAAATGTTATATGTAATAAAATTGCACTTCCTGGCTATTGAGAACTTACTAATACATGATGTCCCAACTAGTAGAGCCCTCTATCTGAAAAAAATATGCATACTAAATTTAAGTTTTAGAACATGATTAAACTTACTAATTGAGTTTGTTTTAATGACTTATTTCACTTAAATAACTTAGCAAATCCATTAAAAAGGTATCGTTGTTTGAATCCACATTATGCCAAAACTGAGCTAGCAAAGTGGAATTGAATCTTTGGAACTTTAAGTGCATTAGTTTTTCATAGTACAGATGGCATAAACTGTAAAGTGTGAAACTTTGCTGTATGTGCTGAGCTACCTGAGCAGGGTATCAAGTAAGCAACACACATAAAACACTTTTAAGCAGTTTTAACTGACTCCAATGACAAGGTAAGCCAGTGATTAAGTGGTTTGACGGATGAGAGGTGATGAGTACAAATGAGGGAGTTATGGTTGAGATTTTCAAACATTTATAGGTCAATTAGGAACACAAGTCCCATTCAAAGCCAATGATACTTGTTTTCCTGGTTCACTTAGATTCTTGAAAATCCTCTCCAAGATGTATAAATACTATAATTTGACAAGAATGCTTATATATTAGGCGAAACGTTAATTCTGAATTGACACCACTCTAGCACACAGATATCATGCTAACCTGCACCCCAGACCAAATCCAGACCATGGAGCTCCTTGTGAGCTGGATCCAGACTGCAAAGAAGCTCCTGGGCTGAAATCAGACTTGGTGGCAGTGGGGCAAGAAATATTGCAAGGGTTAATGAAGCAATTATTTGCCCCCCTCCTGCTGCCAACGCACATGCCCATCAGGGCTCCATAAATGGGAATTTGGCAGCAGGCACTGCCCTGCAAATTCCCAGCTCCTCATGGGCTGTATTTATGACACCCCTTTTTCAGCAGATCACCAAAAGTCTCACTTATTTCCCTGTAAATTTCCCAAATAGAAATGATCAATACCTCATCAGGTCATCGAGACCATTAGTCCAATTTAAGGTCCTACTGCAAAGCAATGGAAAAAAAAATAGCATTCCAGTGATACCATTTTAAATGACAACCCTAGCGAGAATCTGTCTGGACACCCATTCAGAGTTCGCAGATAATATACAGCAATTAGCACATCTACCCTGAGATGGATTGTCTCTGAAGCAGAAATGAACACATGCTGTGGACAAGGCTTATGTTGGCAATAAAACATTCCCCAAAAACCAGTGGCACGAGGAACACAATGATACCTGTAGGTAGTACTCGGGGCTCAATAAGCCACAGCTGGCTAATTTCAGGTTACCCTAGCTACATCTTGAGTGCTGTAGCAATGCTAGAAAAGGTTTTACACTAACATATGAAGAGCAAGATTAGCTCCCTGTATTGTGTGTGTGTCTGGAACGTCCATTACGGAGGCAGATCAGCAAGGATTGGTTTTTGTTTATTTGGGGGTAGCCCCCAGAAGGCCTAGGTATGGACCATGAATCTCACAGTGGGTGCATCTACATGTGCAATCAATATGACATGATAAACTCCAGACCTGTTTGCACCAGAGTTGACTGCTCCCAGGCGCAGCATCTGTATTTTGCCCGGGACAGAAGTAGTTTGAGATGGGGCAGAGCAGCCCCAGGATGGCAGCAGACTCAGGGGGTCAATCCTGGGCAGAGGAGGGGCTGACTCAGGCACAAGAGTGCTAAAGTATGGAGCCATGAGGCGGCCAGCCCCTGTCACCATCTATACCTGCATTTCAGTGTAGTAAGTAACTATGCCGTAAGATAGTACTGTCACCGACAGGGACAGTATTATCTTATGGTGGAGTTAATTAATTACCTGCGTCCCAACACTGGTTCATGTGTACACAGTGACACTTTACTGCAGAGCTAATCAACTCCACAGTAACATGCACGTGTAGATGCATCTAGTGCCTAGCTCGTGTTCAAAGGTCACTACGCAATGACACCCCTGCTCCAAAGATTATGCAGTTTAAATGGCTAGGACTCTACTTCAGCGTTTTCAGCTCCGCTGACTTTATTGAAGTCTTTGGATAGGGTTCTTTTACAGCTTTAACTTCTGGAGTCAAGTGGTTACAAAAGAAACTCGGGTTTCCTTTTAACAAAAAAACTTGCTAGCGCTGATGTTCACAGAGAAAAATCTGAAACTCCTGCAGGAAACACAAACTCCACTTCCATTCTTTGGAAACGTGATCTTTCACCCAATCCTGAACCTACTGGGTCCATTTCAATGAGCTGAAATGCTGGAGGTTGACAATGCTCCTACTACATGACAGTATTTTTGTAAATGGATGAATCTAATCTTAGCTGAATTCTAGATGCACGTTTTATTCTGCTTTAAACTGTATTTATTTTGCTTTAGATGTTTGGCATTTGGATCGCTGCACTTTTTCTGCTCGACACAGCCAAAGGTGAGACTAGATACAGATGAGGACTACCAAGTGACTGAATTCTTCTTGTCCAAGCCACAATACCTTTACATATATTTTAACAAAAATGTTACAATAATAGTTTGATTTGGAATGGTGGTTCTCCTTATGACCAATTTGTTCCTTAGTTTAATATTTTCATCATATTCACCCAGCGACTTTTCTTTAAGAAAAGCTTCAACAGGCCAAAGGAAAGCCCTATATCTCTGTATGGAAGAGGAGTCTAATCCTTTCACAACTGTTTCCTGTTCAAAATAATAATTATTACTTGTTGTTTGTATTATGGTATCATCTTAGTGATCCAAGCACAGGCTAGGACTTCATTGTGCTGCACTAACACACAACTAGACAGTCCCTGCTCCAAACTGCTTACTCTCTAGCTAGAAACAAGATTGAACAGGTGGCCTCCGATAGACGTACCAAGCAAACACAAGAAAACAGTGAGATGAGATTGTTCGGCATGACAGCTAATGACTCTGACCCCTGCTATGCTTCTTTCACTTACTTTGCTATTTAATGTATAGCAAATTTAAGGGCTCAACAAAACGTGTAAGGCTGTATATACGAGCGTGCAGGAAATATGTACGTGCTTCTATACAAATGCATGTTGCTCCTACACAAATGCATGTTGCTTCTGTACAAATGCACATTGATGAGGCAATGGAAGCCAGTGACTTTAATTATTTAGGCTGTAGCTTTTTCAGTAGGTGGTCCCGATATACAAACAAGGCACACAGGTCTGATCTTTGATCAATAACGTGCCAAGAGCTACATAACAACAATGATAATAATATAATCTAAGGGCATGATTCCCAAGTTCCTAAAGTGATTAGAAACTCTTAAGAAAAGCCCAGATCACTTGTAAGGTCTCAAACATACAGTGCATCTGCAGATCCATAATACCGTTTTGGTATTGCTCTTGCCAGTTGTACGGAGTGTGAAATAACCTGCGTGGTTGTTGCCGCTACTAAAAAGTCATCATTTGCTCTCAAGCACCAGAGTATCCGTGTATTGTTTCTCTCCATTCGGAGCAGGAACTCCTCAGGGTGCAGATACAGCAGAAAAGGGTTGGGTAAATGGGCTTCTTAATGGCAACTCCCATAGATTGTCTCTCGTTATTGTATTTAAACAATAAGCGTGACAAAATGACTAAGTTTTAGGCGTGCACTGAGACTGTGTATTACTTTGGGCACTTCTGCTTCCCTTTAAGCCTTTTGGATAATAGAGGAAGTTATTTAAGATGTGGGCTTGATAATCCATGGTATGTTGGCCGTCACGTGAAGAACTTCCCTGAACAAAGCGATCCAAAGGCGTGCTTGTTTCGAGGCACTTAATCAGGGCTGCATACATTTTCTTGAAGGGGTGCAATCTGCAAAAATTTGCACCCCTGGAAGAAAATCTAGAAGTAATTAAAAAATAAAAGCACCTTCCATCTTTTTCTAGTTATCAAGCAAGTTCAGCAATGGTATGAAGAGCAGCTGTCCTGCCTCTGCCTTCGAACCATGCCCTCCCCAGTAAGACTTTACACATGCAGGAGCTGTCTTATGGAGCACAGAGTCCTGTTACCAGCCACTAGCTGCTTTCTCTGGGGAAGGTCATAGAAACCCTGCTGGAACCAGTTACGGGATAGCCTGCCTCTACAGGAAAATTATTTCTGATGCTCCTTAGGCAGAGGTTGCATGAAAGTATTGCGTTCTTCTAACACCTTTTCTTAACTATTTAATGCTAATATAATGTTGGTTATTTATATCAGTGTCCTACTAATAATCTTGGGGGCTAAAAATATTTCCTCCTGTTGCAACTCCCTCCACTCTTAAAAAGCACAGGCCAACAGATCACTCAAGAAATGGTATCTAGGGATGTTATAAGCAAAGCTTCTCCAGGTTACAAACTTGAGCCATCTTCAGATCAACAGACAACAGCAGAAGGGACTATTTTTATATAACCAACTAACTTCTACCTCAGAGCAACCAAATTCACCCAGAAATTGCAGTCCAAGCAACCCAGCCTTAAAACAAACCTTCAGCATATGAGCAAAACTGGCTAAAGTGCAGGCTTGGTTAAAGTAACTGGTTTAATTAAGAGGCAGACTTGGAGAAAACTTGTAATGTATCTGCCCTTTTACAGAAATGGTTCAAAATTAGTGGCTCCTCTGTGTTTAGTGGAGAAAGCCCATGAGAAAACACAGCTATTCTTTTCAGGTGCAATTTGCTTAATTAGCAAAAAAGGCAGTTGAGTTTCTTTAGCCCAACATGCACGAAGCAAGTCCTCCATCCACCTCTGTGGCCCAGAGGAACCAGTGCGAGTCTTGTGCTCAAGGATCTCTGCCCGATGGTACCCAGGGAATGCTCAGGTTGGGATGGGAGGAGAGACAAGGTTAAAAGATCCTCCGTGATGTAGATGCTTTGGTCACCCCCATTTCCTCCAGGCTATAGTTTTGTTAGGTGAACCCTTGGAGTCTGGTTGAAGCGTTTGGGAACCTGACTTGTCCCCAGTGAAACTGTTATGACCTCAACAGTGTTGCTCAGAGGAAAACTAATCACCTCCCCAGAAAAGAATTCTCTGCTTCAGGGATCTCAGAAATGGGAAAGAGAAGCAAATCCCTCCATCACCTCCTTTGAAAGTGGTGGTAGTCTCGGCTACAGAGCCAAACTGGAACCCATTTCTAACGCACCAAAACTTTGTGTGTCACAGGAAGAGAAGTTTGTTATCAGAGGCTTGGCTGCTTCCCAAATAACCCACCGTGGACTGGTACGCTGCAAAGACCACTGCTAGGCTTGCCCAGCTCTCCCGAACGAGTGAAAACCACATTCCTTCTCTACACTAGAGACAACCCCAACAGATACCAGGTAAGAAGAGCCAGGTCTCGTTTAAAAATTGAAAATGCTAACTACTCTTTGCTGAAAAGAAGATCTGTGTCCTTTTCCCATGCTCTCCACCAGAACAGTCTCAGTTCGGCAGCATCCACCTGCTGATTTCTCCCTATTCCATTGCCCTTTTCCAGGCATTTAGTCCAATAAGCCACATCTATTTACACAGTATCAATTATAAGCCTCCAACAATGTCATTTTAGTGACTGAAGCCTGCTGATGTATTCCGAACCCTTATAAGCGCCCCGTGTGCACTTTGCAATAAACAAAGGGTCAAACTCTTGCTTCAAGTTTGCTACCCAAAGGCCAAAGCCAGAAAAGGAGCTACAAGGAAAATCTGTTCTGCTGCCATTTGGGTTCGACAAGCCTCCAAATACTTGGTCCTGCCTAGATCAAGAGGTTGGAGGACACCTTGAGGTCCCTTCCAGCTCAATATTTTTCCCCCCACCATGAACACTGGCAGGAGGTGTAGGAAGTCTAGGAAGACTTTGCAGGGTAGACCTGAGGATCTGGGATACAGCAGTGAGACTCCTAAATCACATGGTCCTGCTCTCAGAGGTCCTGCCTGCATCTTAATTTAAGTGAGGCAAAATGTAGTAATGGAGGGCAGGTAGAAAGGAGACAGACTAGAAAAGAAAATAAAGGAGAGGCTGTACAGTAGGGGAAGAAGGAGAGAAACAAGAGTACAAGGGATGGGGAAACAGGAGAGACTGAAAGAGGTGACAGATAAGGAAGACTCAAGACAGAAGGAAGGAGAATTAAAGAGCGTATGTACAAGAAAGGAGAGAGAAGCAGAGGAAAGGGTAGTGAAGGAGGGACAGATGGAAGGAAAGGAGGAGGAACAATTATTAACACACTTCAGAAGAGAGAGACTAAAAGAAAAATGACATTGAAAAGCACTGGAGAAAAGGCTATGGCAAGACACAGAGATATTGGGAGAGAGCCCTGAGAGAAGGGAAAGACAAAGCATGAAAGCAAGGGACACAATATGTTCTTTCTTTTATTCCTCAAGTTTAATGTAAAAGGATATTCATTAAAACACACAAGATGCATACACTCATTATCACCCTGAAATCTACTGTCTTTGGAGTAATCCTCTGAATTTCCAAGCAAGAAACCTCAGCCAGGGCAGTGCCAGGGGAGGCTAAGTGTGGAGAAAAAGGGTAGAGTTCAATGGGACTGCCCCACTGGGACTTGGCCAAAGTGCCGTTAAACTCAGTGCTGGTAGTACCATCTACTTCCATAAGAGTTAGATCAGGGTAATACTGCCCAGCCCACACCTCCTGCCAGTGTTCATGGCAGGGGGGAAAATACTGAGCTGGAAGGGACTTCAAGGTGTCCTCCAACCTCTTGATCTAGGCAGGACCATTTTAGTCTAATGATCCCCGGACTTGCTGCATTAGCAGACAGAGGGAGACGATAAGGATTATTTATTCGTAAAGCGCAGAAAAACAGATGGAGACATGAACCTATCACTCTGGGGACCAGCCAGCCGTACGTGAAGTGTGTACGGTGTGGAGCACACCTATATTCATATCAGTTGAGTGCATAATTCACTTAACTACAACATAATGCCAGTCCCAATTTTGTGCCTGTTGGTTACTTTGCATAAAGGCATAAACCACTTTAAGTAAGAGGAACTCGTGGGCCCATCATAATGTAAATGTACTCTGTTTAACTGCCAAATTGCTTAACCTGACTAGGAGCCACCATCTCTCTCAAGGCTTAAGTACCCTGAATTGAGTAGGCCCTGTGAATACCAAGGTTGTTATTAAGGGCATGAGGTACACTCAAACAAGGTAAGAAGATTGTATGAGGCACAAAACAAATGAATCCAGGCGGTTCTGTTAATTACCAGGCATCACAGCCATTGAGTCCCCAAAAGTTTATTTACCAGATTAGGTCCTACGTAGCCCGCGTACACCCAAGGGTGTGCCCTGATCCCAATCACAGGAGCGTGGTGAGAGGTGAGGGTGCTGTGGGAGGGATCACCATCACTGACATGTGGTTCCCTCCTTCCTCCATAGGGTTAGACTCTAGACAGGCTCTTAACTATTTACAATATTTATTAACATATAATATTCATATACATAGATTTACAGAGTGACCGTTAACCAACTACCAAGGTCAAACCCTAAATAACACTGTGGGAAAAATCGCTTCCAACCACAATCTCCAGGAAAACCCAATATATACACGATAAACCCACAGCTTCCCCACCCCACAGTGGGGAACCCGTACTCAATTAAAGTGTTCACAAAGTTTAACAGGGGAAAAGTGATTTTACTCCTACAAAGGAACAGCCCTTCTCTCTTTAATGCATCAATGGACCCCTACCCAGTTAGGGGACCTAGCAATCAAAGAAACTAATACGGTGCTTTTCAGAAATTACTCTGTCCTATGATAACACTATTTACCCATCACAATAAAACAATTTCAGGAGTATCAAACACAATACAACATTTCAGTTACAAAATAAAAGGCGCAGACATAAACAATCTCAATAACATCTGTTCCTTAATATAGTGTCTGACCCATGGGAACAGATGGTCTTTCTTTCAGTGGGGTCCCTGGGGGTGGGGCGAGAGACTGCTCACCCCACCCCTTCTCTGGGGTTTGCCCACCTCAAACATTTTCCACTCTGGGACCCAAGGGCCCAGTAACTCATGTTACCCCGGTTAGCTGGGTGGCTAACCCATGCAGCCTCTGCTGCTTCCTGGCTCCGCTTCCCTGCACCACCCTGCACACTGCGAGACCCAGCTGCTTACGGGGAGATGGAGCCTGAGCTGCTGCACTGTGGCTCCCAGGGCCCTTGCTCTGTGCGCCACTCTGCGCACTGAGTGACCTGCTGGTCCACTAGGGCTTCAGGCTTGAGCCACCGCTTGCAGCTTCCCAGAGCCTGGGCTCCATGCTCTGAACCGCGCACCGTAACACCTGGCCACCCACCGGCATTGCAGACTCAAACCGCCACTTGCGGCTCCCAAAGCCTGGACTCCGTATGCCAAACCATGCACCATGA